CAAGACCCTTGCAGGTTTACTAGTTTCTCTAAGATTCAGGTATCTTGTTCCTTAGTTCATGGCTCTGATACCACTGTAAAGGTAGTATCACAATATATTAAATTGAAGAAACAAGAAAACCTTAATCAAACATAAATAAAATTGCAGGAAATTAAAAATGAACACAAAGAAATTATTTCAGCCTAAGCCCCGAAGGTTTGGCGACCGCTTCTAACTTTTACACCCCCTGCTGAGCATCCAAAGATTTGGATTATGGTCGATTGCACTAAATAGTCAAAATGATGACAAGGATTGTTCAAAGAGACGAAAATGAGACTTATCTCTCAAGTATAGTGACGGATTTACAGAGATTCACTTAGATCTCAGCCCTCAAACCCTTCGAACATCACCATGAAGTTACAATAGAGAAATCACTCAAATTTCTTCACTATCCACATAGAATATTACAGATTGAAGGAAGATCTCACTATCCTATACATAAAATTAGAGATTTTAAGCATGAAACACTACAGAAAATGGTCATCTCTCAAATCGCCATTTTTCTCTCTGAAAACCTTAGAGACGAAAGCAAAACTAAGAGTGAAAAGTTAGACGTTCCAGAAGACTCTGGGCTTTTAAAGAAGGGCAGATAAACCGGCTCCATCCAACGTCTAGAATTAGTCCACATCTTGATCATCCAATTAAGTTGTCACTAGTCATTAAGTCATGTTTGATATAAACACAATTTTTGCCACGGTTCAAAATTTGAAAGCACCAAATGTGGAGAACAGGGTTCAACTCCAACAACAACCGTCAAAAAGTTGCAAAAATGTTATCGACAACTTTCAAAAAACGTTGTGAAAAGATTATTCGCAACGTGAAAAAAATGTTGCGAAAAAAGTTATTCGTAACGCAAATTTTTTTTTGCCAAAAGGTTATTGGCAATGTTAAAAAAGTTGTGAAAACAGTTCTTTGCAACGCGGAAAAAACATTGTAAAAAAGTTTTTTGCAACGCAAAAAAAATGTTGTCTATCCTTCACTCTACGACAACATTGAGGTTTGCAACATACGGTAAAACGTTGCAAAAGGCCTTTCGAAAGGCAATTTTTGTTGTGGTGTGGAATCAAATAGGAACTTCTTCATACTGTTGAATTACAAAAATCACTCTAACAGTTAAAAATATGTAAAAAATATGGTTCCTGAAGCACTAGTTTGAGGTCCGCTGGGGGAAAGGTATAGATGTTGCCTGGCCTTCTGCAAGCAAGCACGCCTGATAGCTTTTCACTCGTTTGGCTGACTCTTATTTTCCTAAATTATTGTTCTTTATAAAAGTCACAAGCCGTTTTACATAATTTTTACGTCTTATAGAGGATGGGTCAAGCCATATTCACACCAATTTCAAAATATTCTAATATAAGCTAGGTAAAGATTGTTAGTTCAAATTTTGTTACATCTATGTAAAAATTGTACAGTTGGAACTTATTGAAGATCAAATTTAAATAAATGAAGAAACACATTCTATAAAACTTAAACTTTTAAATGCATTGGTTAAATTATTTATTTAATTTTAATCGTCAATAACCTTTAATTAGTAAAAAAAAATGTATGAAATAATGATTTTATTTATTTTTAGAATTATGAAACTGTTAATTGATAGAAAAATCGGGGACCTCTTTCTCCGGGCAACATGTTTGACAAGATGCGATCCATTGATTTTGGGTTATAATAAATTCTATAAAATTGTGATTCGAATTAATATGTCGAATCCTAAATAGGCCCATAAAGAAGAAAATGTGAAAATAAGTTAAAAAATGAAATACCTAATTATAATATTATTAACTGATAACCATAGGCCATGAATACCTAGCGCACATTTATTAATATTTACAATAAAATAAGTTCAACAGCTTACCGTTATTATTTTAGCTGTTGTTTATCCAAAAAATAAATAACGAAATAACAACTTATTTGGTTATTTCTGGTCTCTTTACCACTCATTTGATCCTCATCATTTCTATTGTCAAGTTGTGAGACGTTTCTAACATCCTCCATCAAAGTATGCTAGGGTCGAGACACAATTTAATTTGAAAAATTGAGAGGTGCCATGAACATTAGTTTGATGAAGAAGCCAATAATTTTTTATATTCATTCTTGTGAAGATATGTCACCTGTGTATATAAGCATTTCAAGTGCTTCCCATATCGCATAGGTTGTGTCTAAATCTATAACGATGCCAAGGGTTTCTTCAAACTATTTTGACGATCCAACCATGAATGAGAGGATCAGACTTTCACTAGGCAATTGAATTCATTTGTTAATATCAGTGTGAATTTATTTATTTTTTGTTTTTGTATTGTTTGGATTTGATGTGATGTATTTGGTGGGGGACAAAGTTTTCATTGGTGAAATGATCAACCTGTTATTGAACTCATTTGTCAATTTCGGTATAAAATTTTCTGTTTCTATTGTTTTCTTTGGATTTGGTGGGATGTACTTGATGGACGAGAATTAATGAGATATGAATGTAAAGTAGTTGTCAACATTTATAAATGGTAAAGTGACAGTAGAATAGAAGACTTGTGGTGTGCTAAGTGGTCACACTAGTTCTGATACCAAAAAGAAAATATGAAAAAAAAAACTTTAAAAATGAATAAAAGGTTTAATTATAACATTGTTAATTGATAACCATAAGTCATAAGCACCTACCACACAGTTATTCCTATTTATAATAAAATAGGTTCAACAACTCTTCGTTATTATTATATCTAGTGTTTATCGAAAAATAGATAACAACTATCGAAGAACAAATTAACAATTTTGCATTTATCATTTGAATTTGAATTTGACAATCTTATCCCTCCAATTTTTTTTTTTTTAGTCGTCTTATCACTTCTTTGATCTCATCCGTTTCTAACACATAATGGTATGCCCATGTTCTCCATTGGTTGATGTAGTCCAAATTGGCTGACAAAAAGTCATCAAAAGACAAAATACTCACATCACATGTATCATGGACACATACATTCTTAATACTTTTATGTCCATTTCTTTACTCTGAATTACTATTTTTTAGTATTTGTATAAAAATAAAAGAAAAAATGGGTCCCCGACAAATCTAATATTCTGCATTCACTTTTTCATTATGTTAGGGCAATGTATTGGGCGTAACTCACGGAAATAGATTGCTGTATATTCTTTGGTCAATTTGCGTAAAGGTCGATGAATTGACTTTTAGAATTGCAAAACAATGGTCACCCATGGCCCAATACAACTGCAGAAAAGTGTGAGAACTAACGCAGGGGATAAGCCTAGCTACTAAGGCCCGAAATGACTTCCCTATATCGATAAGCTGACTCGATGCCTCTACGTGTCGGGCCACCTAGCTTTGACGACCATATCGAGCTTTAAGTTCCATTTAAAAAATATCAAACTTATAAAAATGAGCCG